CGGCCCCTTGTATGCTGTTTTTGTCTTTTTTTTTAATCACCATTTTGTATTCTTAAAACAAAACATTGCGGCCTCAAGGTGCATCCATTTTCCTACAGATAAGCCCAATTTCTTCTTCTTCATGGCAGAGCAGTGCTCCGTGCTGTGTGCGTACAATTTTCCTTGCCCAGTCCCGAGCCGATGGATGATACCTTCCCCTTGCTTGCGCACTGCGGCCTGTGCACCCGTTCTTCACTCTGCCTGGCTGTCTGTTTGTCACCCTTCGGCCTGTCTGGAGTCCTCAGCACCCTCAGTGGCCCTGGGGGGAAAGCGGAGGTGAGAATGAGTGAAGGACAGACAAGAGGCCAGAGCTGGGGCCGGAGGAGGTCGCTGCCTCGCACGGGGAAGACCAGAACTGCCCGGGACAGCTAGTGTTTATTTACACCCTGCAGAGGTGGATGTCTCTGTCAACCTCTCCTCCCAGCAATCAGTTAACGGGCTCCAAGGGCCTCTTTGCGTGGCTGGAGGTGCTCCTGCGTTCTCTGGCTGCGATTAACTTCGGCTGGGGACACCAGCTGGCTCTGCCCTTGTGTCCCAGCACTTGCCTTGGCGACATTTCAGGGAACCTTTCCAATGTGTGCTCCCTCGATTGGTTTCCGCTCCGGCCACTGGCACCTCTCCTGCGCTGGGACCTTGCCTAGCTCCCGTAGACCTGTCCTTCCAGGCCGGTAGTCCCTGGCCACAGGTGGCCATGGGGCCCTTGGGATGGAAGTAGGGCGAGTAGAGCTGGGCTGCACACGTAACAAATGCACGCCAGATTTCCACAGTGCACTGAGCCAGTCTCTGTCGGTGTCAGAGACAAGCTGCCCCAGGTGCCCTGGAGGAAGACAAGGCAGATCCAGGCAGGGCACGGCGCAGCTTCCTGGGGGCTGCCAACAGGGGTGTGGTCCTGGGCATCGGCATCGGAGGCGCAAGCGGCTCTCTGTAATTCGTGTGAGAGGGAGGGAGGGAGGGAGGGAGGGAGGGGTGCGCATGGTGGCGAGGGTGAAAGCGGCTTCCTCCTGTTAGGAGCTCCTGCCTGTTATATTCAGCTGACATCAAGGGTTGGGCCAATTCCTGGTGCCAGAGCCTGCTCGGAACCCCACAGGGCCAATTGTCGTTTTCTATTTAGTCAGACCGCAGGAGAAACAACCAGGGCTACTGGGCTGGCCTCAGGACGGCTGCCAGCGTAGCATGCCCAGGCCGCGGGCCACCCTGGGAGAGGTCGTGTGCGGGAGGAAGAAGAACAGCCGTACCTTGGGTCACAAAGGATTTTGTTTGCGTGCAGTCTGGTTCACAAACGGAAGCATTCGGCAAAATTTAGTTTTTGTTTGTGAACTCTGCAGGGGGTGGCAAACATGACTGCGGCCATCTTCTTTACACAAACACAGATGTGGCTATCTTTTCTAAAATCATAGAACAAATTAAGTTGGCAAACCAAGCCAGCCCTACACTTTCTCCCTTGGAATCTTAACCTTTGTTCCCCCACCGCCAGTACGGGGGATAGAGCCCTTCACAGGGAGTCATATGCCCAGCCTTTTCCATTTTTAAGTTTTGAGGTAGGGTTTCACTA